CTCTCCTTTTCGCAAGCCATCTTTTACTTGTAAGGCAGACAACATTTCCCCCGAAGACTTGACTTTGGTGAGGGGAACAAAACAAGGATTGGGCATGTCCATCACGAACATCCCATTTAAATGCGGCATAACAGACACCATTGCCTTTGTAAGGAATTGCAGTCCAAGGATTACCTGGAAATCATCGAGAGGGACTGCCATAAAATCACATGTTCCTTGCCAATCACCCACTTTTAGAGGGACTTTTTTTGCGACGCCGCCTACTGGTTTTGCTTCTGAATTAATAGCCTTAATCTGGCTAGAGTCTTTCACTAAAGCCAGACCAAGCCGCTGTACTTCCTGATCAGAAACAAAATTATGGGTTGCACCTGTATCGACCATTGCTTGGACAGTCACATTGTTCAGGCGAATCTGCACAAACATCAACCCCCTCTTTGTCACTGTCTCCTCTTTGCGAATTGCATTAAGAAGTTGTAATGGGTTGACTCGTGTTGGTTCGTCAGAACAATCAGTTTCCTCAGCCATGAGGGCACTGAGCTTTTCCATCTTGGGGCAATTTCTGGCACGATGAGGGCCATTACAGATAAAACATCCTGAGTCAACACCTCCCTTTGATAAAGAGACTTTGTCAGTCTGTTTTTCTAAATTGCCAAACTTCTCAGTCTTTTTCTTCTGCTTATCCTTCTTAGCAAACTTGGATTTCCCTTTCGACTCCTTCTCCAGAGGATTAGCCTGCGTTTTGTAATCAACCAGCGCGTCTGCTGCGAACATAGCAGCGGGTAAATCTTTCACCCCTTGCCGACGAAGTTCTGCCTGTGCCCAAGTTTGGAGGCCAGACATAAAGTTGAACAATTTGTCTTCCTCTGACATATTTTTAATGTCAAGCATCAGAGACGAGAATTGTTTCACGTACTCTCTCACGGTGCTTGTATGTCGAAGTTTCCTCAATGCATCACGGGCTTGCCAAGCCGTGTTGCTGGGAAGAAATTGCTCCTTCATTTCAGCGGACAGAGACTCCCAAGTAGTAATTGGAAGACGAGATTTGTCCTCAGAACGTGTTCGCCACCATAATTTAGCATCACCGGACAGGTACATGCTAGTGAGATCTACCTTCTCAGCATCCAGAATACGGACTGCTTTGAAGTAATGTCCCATATCCCACAGAAAATTCTCGAGTTCTTTAGCATTTCGACTGCCTGTGAAAGGCTTAGGGTCAGACACTTTAGCTTTCTGAGTGCTTTCACTGCCAGAAGCCACAGGGGCATTCTGCAATGCCCTCTTAAGCACTGAAACGTCGGTCTTGAGGGAACTCAATTTTTCCCCCATATCATCGGTCCATGTGGAGATCGTAGCCAACACGTCAACGACTTCGTTTTTCACTCGACTGAAGTGATCAGATTCAGTCTTTTGAAGTTGTTCCTGTGCAACACGCATCTCTTTGAACCGCTGATATAGCAACTCAATCTGCACAGAGAGAGCTACAGCATCACCAGACTGTGGAGGACCAACCAGCTCCTCCAACCGTGCCACCTTTTCCCTTAGATCAGCATTCGTTCCGCCAACCATAATTGATCTGTTGTCAAAACCACGCTCTGATACCAAACTGTCACAAGGTAACTTTTATTTTTCTTTTGAGGCTACCTGTGAAAGCGTTGCTATTACAACCAGCCACACTCAACTCAAGAATAAGGGACAGAAACTCATACAGAAGGCACACGCGAATCTACTGAGACAACACTCCCAAACCTTATATATTGAACTCAACAATTTACAAGAACTCTCAACAGCTAGAACACTTTCCCCCTTCCAGAATGCTCAAGCACCTCTATTTATACAAGAGGAAGGCAGATGACACCCCCATCTGCCAAGGGGTAGTTACCCACGTTTTTGCTATTCCATAGCATACTGGACTAGTAGACTTGGTCTCTGTGCAACACCTGGCAGGCAGTTCCACCTCTTCAAGTAACTGCTGTGGAACTGCCCCTTCATCAGCATGCATCTAGACTGGATTCAGACTGGGGACATCCAGAACTGCCTCAGCAACTGCCTTGATTGAGTCTCAGCATCATAACTGCCCAAATCCTCCTGGTCACATGCATTGAGCAGTCATGTGCCAATCAGGTGTCCACATTCAGCAGTCATGTGCCCACATTCACCAGTCAACCTTGCTACACGAACCAATGTGCATGCTGGGTTCAACCCATGCCATGCAATCCGAAGCTCTGCACCCACATTGCTTCAATTGAGCCCACCCATGCTGTCATACTCAACCGAGTGGTCTCATGCTGCATTGGTTCGCCCCAATCTGTCGAACCACTTAGCCGCGTCACCCTGACTCCAATTTCTGGCATGCCTTGGTGCAAGGTGCCACTAAGACTGACCATTTGCACCCAAGTCAATTAGGGTGTGATAATTAGTAACATTCATTCATTGGGAGATCGAGTCTTCAAGGCTGCAATCTATTTGATAGAGATTTTTCGAAAGATTTCAGTAGCCTACCCTCGCTAAAGGTGATAGACCTGCGCAGAAATCCCACTTGCGGCCTACCAGAATGCGTCAAAGGTCTTGACAGTCTACATAAGCTACACGTACATTCCTATACAAGCCTGAAAACTCTTATGGGGCTGCCCCATATAGAACGGATCTTTGGTAATTCCAATTGCAGATCATTGGAAAAAATAACATATGCATCATCTTTGGCCTCCAAACCAGCTTTCAACTTTGATAATTTTGCGAGTCCGCCAGAAGTGAATCGACATTTTACGTTAGCATCGCAGAAATTATCAACGACTTGGGGTTGTCTAATATAAAATCTATCCAAAGCACTTAGGTTTCCTTGTTCAATTCACTCACGTCAGGAAAAAAAAAAAAAGCTCCCCATCCAGGTGCTCTCTCTTATACATTTGTTATTTCCCCGGTTATGCTTAAGGCGTTTTATATATTACCCATATGCAATTTGACCAAGTAGCCTATTGCCCCCTTATAGTTTAAAATTCTGCAAATAATACCGTCTAATTTTGGAAAAAATTACAACCGTGAGGAGTTCCTTTAAAATTAAGGGTCAAAATTCAACATTTTTAGTAAAAAAAGGTGTTAAAATGATTTTATAGTCATATGAGTATTATATTTCTTACTTTTTCTCTCTAAAATAAACCAATTTTACCTTCTCTCTCTTCATTGCCTTTGCATTAAGTAGATCTTTCAATTTTCATGAAATTTTTAGGAATAAAAAACGCTAAGAAAATTAGAAAGTATAGTGTTGTTGGTTGAACCACATAGAGATAATCTATAGTTTGTCCTAGTTAAAATAGAAATTTTCATGGCACTGGGACTGTTCCAAGTCAGAATATTCAGCATATTTCTTCCTAGGAGTAAAGTTTTGCGCTGCTTCAACAATTCGAGTGTGTGGTCTACAGTATATTTTACAATCCCTTTAGATCAAAATTGTAGAATCACATGATGAACATGGGTTGTGTGTATGGGATCACTGAAGAAAATTTTTCAGGTAAATTATCTATTGAAATTGAAGTTAATAATGGGTGGAAGAATGTGGTAAACTACTGGCCAACATCCTTTGGAGTTCCAGAAAATATATGACGTGATTAAGTCATTGAAAGTTGAATGAGTTTGTTGCACCTAGTGATGAACTGAATCATTGGATTTTAATGAATGGTTTTGAGGTAAAGGAGTTTGAAATCAACCTTGTACATGATGAACAGAAAAAGAAGGATGTCCAATCAAACAACAAAGATATACTTAGACCTACATTGGCACATAGGAACACCAAAATTGACCGCCACTTTGGTTCCTATGCACTTATTGGGCAATGGAGGTGAGCCATGTGCTGTGATTGACAAGGGAAGAAAAAGCAAGATGAATTAAAATTTTTCCCTTCTTTTATTTCCTTTTTCTCCCTCCCAGACACTATGTATTAATCTTCCAAAACTTCATGAAGATCAGACTTTTTTTGTTGCTTGATCTCCTGGCAAAAGACTATTCTGTGTTTCTTCTCTTGCTGCTTCTTTTGCACTGTACGTGCAATGTTTTAGTTTATCAAAAAAACGTAATGCTATCTAATATTCTTTTTTTTTGATTGAATTGAATCCATTTTTCCCTCTGCGTTTTTGGGGAGATCCCCTCGGGTGATTTCTTTTTCCATTTTTTTTCTGCGGAATGATTTGGTAACTTACCTTGTTGCGTCCCTTTTCCCAGAAAAACAACAAAAACGAATACATAAATACATATACACACCACTGGATAACGTTATTGGTATAAACCACAGGGCATAGAAGGGCAGCCAGCCAATAAAGAGAACCCAATACTAAGAAAACCACTAAACAATATATAAAAATCCGACTATTTCACATCAAATACAATCAAGCAACAAAGCATAAAACCAACTATACTATATAAAACCAACAAGAAAATGATAGTCAGACACTTATGTACCCACTACTGCATCATATCATATTAATAAAGCACATACTTTAAGCACTTAAGTACCTTCTATTTGTGCCATCCCACGAACCAATTCGCCAGCCACCACCATCAGTTCTTCATATCTTGCTTATCGAGCTTCATAATCGATTGGCCTTGTCAATGGCATCCTGAGCAGCAGTCTTGAAATAAAAAACTCGGTTATACTTATCAGAGTACCGATGGATTGAACAAAAAGATCTGTCCACATCGGAACTTCACTCCAGGAGTCTAATCCATTTCATGCTTTGATCATCAACAATTACGTTATTGTTTTCTTCAATTATCGAATCGACTATGGATTGCTTCGAACAGTAGTCTTTGTAGCATTTAGCACGAAGAATCGGAAAGTTGTCTCCGACATCGCCACTGCAACAGTCTCTTCAACCAATTTTGTGTCTGGTTGTTGCTCCATTTTATTTCCACTATCATCCTTGAGCCCAAATAAATTTGAATTTGAATTTGAATCTAACGAAGAGCTGAAAACCATCGAAATTAAAACCTCAATCCACCAAACAAATCAAAACAATAAAGATATCCAATTCACCTAGAGCGGAAAACCCTAAATAATCATCACAGGATGGACATGATAAAAGACGGAGAAGGAAATTACAGAGGTGAAGGAGAGTTGTGGGGATGTGGTCAATGGTGAAGTGGGTCCTGTGGAAGATGAAGAGCTCATACTGAGACTGGATTGGTGGGTTAAGGGGCTGTTTAAGCCTGTGGTGGCGGGCCACGGTCCAGTCTTTATTGTGTTCGTCATTTGGGTCACAGACCGGCCATGACTGTGTTCACGGCCTGTGGCTCAGCCCAAACCTGTTCTTTCTTCTTAATGTTAATCAACATCTCTGCTCTAAGAATTTATTAACAATGGAAGATGACTTTAAGGGCGTTCCTAAGACTTTATAAATAGACTTTTGATGGTCCTTTTCACGAGTCCTAATTTTGTGCTCAAGGTGTTTTTCAATCCCATAGATTTTCACATCTTTATGAACCTTTCCAATGAGCCCACCAGCAAGATGGTGGAGATCCAGCTGAAGTTCATCGAGGACCTTTGACACAAACAGCAAACAATTGATCCTCTTCTGCTGAACGAGTGTGATGCTCACTTCACCATCAATGATACGGACATCAACCTCGGCATTCTTGGACTTCCTCTGAAGCCATCAACTCCTTAATGATGATCCATTGTAGGCCTGGTCTTAATCACCAAGAGGTGTCATGCTAATACACTTGAGATAGTTGTGAATGAAAAGGGATGCAAACTAAGTGTAGAACCCCCGTATATATAGTCAATGAGAGTTACCATAAGGACAAAAAAGGTAAACAAGAAAACTAATAAAACCCTAATAAACTAGGCTGCTTCTATATCTCCAACACTCCCCCTCAAGTTAGGCGCAAAAAATGTCAACTAAGCCAAGCTTGACAACGGAGTCCCGAAGAATAGATAGAGTGACAGGTTTGGTAAAAACATCCGCAACCTGATCACTGGTCCCCACAAATGATGGAGTGACAATACCACTGTTAACCTTCTCCCGAAGAAAGTGAACATCAATCTCTATATGCTTCGTCCTCTCATGTAGTACAGAATCAGAAGCGAGCTGAATAGCAGATCGATTATCACAATATAATGTGGAAGGAGAGGTCACTGAAAAACCCAACTCGCCAAGAATCGATCGTAGCCAAATAATCTCACACGTGCCAAGTGCCTGTGCCCGATACTCTACCTCTGCTAACGAGCGGGAGACAACTGTCTGCTTCTTGCTCTTCCAAGAGATAAGATGAGTCCCTCGAAAAGCACAGAAACCCGTAGTAGATCGACCATCACATGCTCCCCCATAATCTGAATCTGAATAACAGGCTAGAGAACCGGTCTGAGATCCTGATGCATAAAACAACCCAAGTCCAGGACAAGACTTGAGGTACCGAAGAATATGATAAACTGCATCAAGATGAGGCTGACATGGCCTATGCATGAACTGACTAACTCGGCTGACTGCGAATGAAATGTCCGGCCTAGTATTGGCTAAGTAGATAAGTCTACCTACCAATCTTTGATAAACTGTCGGATCTTTCAACTCCTCACCTTCAGCAGTAAGCTTCAGGTTTGGAATCATAGGTGATGATGCCGGTTTGCACCCCAACATCCCAGTGTCTGAAAGAAGATCCAAAACATACTTTCTCTGAGAAAGAACAATACCTCTGCTTCTACGGGCAACCTCAATCCCAAGAAAGTATCGCAGAAATCCAAGATCCTTCACATCGAAGGCCTTCCCAAGGTCTATCTTGACCTGCGCAGTCCCAGAAACATCATCACCAGTAATAATAATATCATCAACATATACCAGAAGGATGACACACTGTCCAGAAGTATTCCGTCGAATAAAGCAGGTATGATCAGAATGACACCTGGTGAACCCCAATCGTATGACTACATCACTGAAGCGAGAGAACCAGGCTCGTGGCGACTGTTTCAGTCCATAAAGAGACTTACGCAGTCGACATACCTTTCCAGCATACTCCCCCTCACCACGAAAGCCCGGTGGTGCATCCATATAAATAATCTCGTCCAGATCACCGTGAAGAAACGCATTCTTCACATCTAATTGATGAAGAGGCCAAGAGTACTCCGCAGCCAGAGAAATAATTAACCGAACAGTAGTCAATTTTGCCACAGGGGCAAATGTAGCACCAAAATCACGACTTGGTACCTGAATAAAGCCCTTCGCCACAAGTCTAGCCTTGTGACGATCAATAGTACCATCCGCAAGAAATTTCAGGGTGTAAACCCAGCGACAGCCAACAGGCTTCACACCTGAAGGTAAGGAGACAAGATCCCATGTATGATTACGCTGAAGAGCGTCCANCAAGACTTGAGGTACCGAAGAATATGATAAACTGCATCAAGATGAGGCTGACATGGCCTATGCATGAACTGACTAACTCAGCTGACTGCGAATGAAATGTCCGGTCTAGTATTGGCCAAGTAGATAAGTCTACCTACCAATCTTTGATAAACTGTCGGATCTTTCAACTCCTCACCTTCAGCAGTAAGCTTCAGGTTTGGAATCATAGGTGATGATGCCGGTTTGCACCCCAACATCCCAGTGTCTGAAAGAAGATCCAAAACATACTTTCTCTGAGAAAGAACAATACCTCTGCTTCTACGGGCAACCTCAATCCCAAGAAAGTATCGCAGAAATCCAAGATCCTTCACATCGAAGGCCTTCCCAAGGTCTATCTTGACCTGCGCAGTCCCAGAAACATCATCACCAGTAATAATAATATCATCAACATATACCAGAAGGATGACACACTGTCCAGAAGTATTCCGTCGAATAAAGCAGGTATGATCAGAATGACACCTGGTGAACCCCAATCGTATGACTACATCACTAAAGCGAGAGAACCAGGCTCGTGGCGACTGTTTCAGTCCATAAAGAGACTTACGCAGTCGACATACCTTTCCAGCATACTCCCCCTCACCACGAAAGCCCGGTGGTGCATCCATATAAATAATCTCGTCCAGATCACCATGAAGAAATGCATTCTTCACATCTAATTGATGAAGAGGCCAAGAGTACTCCGCAGCCAAAGAAATAATCAACCGAACAGTAGTCAATTTTGCCACAGGGGCAAATGTAGCACCAAAATCATGACTTGGTACCTGAATAAAGCCCTTCGCCACAAGTCTAGCCTTGTGACGATCAATAGTACCATCCGCAAGAAATTTCAGGGTGTAAACCCAGCGACAGCCAACAGGCTTCACCCCTGAAGGTAAGGAGACAAGATCCCATGTATGATTACGCTGAAGAGCGTCCATCTCTGTCTCCATGGCAAGAACCCATTGGGGCTCCCGCATAGCCTCCAAAATAGAGCGAGGAACCGACGTATCTGATAAGGCCATAGTATAAGCTCGATATGTGGGAGACAGATCACCATAAGAAACATAAGCCGAGATCGGATATAAAATCCTGGCGGTCCAACCATAACGATCAACTGGACAACGATCACGCCGCAGATAATGACGCCCTAAATCATACTCCTCCACTGATAATGTCTCATCAGGTAAATGAACTGGCTCAACACCTGCAATCTCATCAGTACTAACAACAGGTGCATCAATATGCTTAACAAACTGAGAAGTATTACCTGCATCGCCTGAGGTAGAGGGGACATCAGTAGGGTGATGAGAGCGAAGGCGACGAACATACTCTGTACTGACAGAGATGAGTGACTCTGAAGGAGGAGAAACAGATAACCCTGTAGGGATAATGACCAATGACTCTGACTCCTGTGGTAATGGAAAATCAAAGGGAGTATCCTCAACTGGAGGGGCAGACACAGGACTGGGAGAAAAATAAGGAAGATGCTCAAGAAAGGTAACATCTAGACTGTGATACATACGGCGCCTTATAGGATCATAACACCGATACCCCTTAGATTGATGACAATAGCCCACAAAGATACAACGAATCGCTTTATCATCAAGTTTATGACGAGTAGGAGACCGATCCTGAACAAAACATGTGCATCCAAAAACACGAGGGGGGACCGGAAAAAGTGTCCGCTCAGGAAATAAGACCTGTAAGGGAGCCTTATNATGCATCCAAAAACACGAGGAGGGACCGAAAAAAGTGTCTGCTCAGGAAATAAAACCTGTAAGGGAGGCTTATGCTGAAGAACACGACTCGGCGTACGATTGCACAAAAAGGTAGAAGTCAAACAGTAGGGTTCTCAAGTCCCTCAGTAGTAGTCATATCAACAACAATATTAGGGCACCCGTGACAGAAAAACAACTCTAAGATAAATAGAGGAATAAAATAAAGGAGAACAATATACCTTCAGTCGAACAATAACGACAAATAAAGAAGGTCCAAAAAACTCTCAAATAATCAGGTCACGGTGCCCAGAAATCCAAAATATATAAATAAGTGATCTACTGCATCAAGAGCAGATCAACAGAAAAGAGGATCCGCTCCCTCCCAAAAAAGTCCTAGAATAAAATCACAACCCCTCTTAAAGGTCTTATGGTCCCAAATAATCAAGTGCACAAAAAACAACACAAAACTATGAGTTTAATGAACAGTGGGCTGGTTGAAATAAGTGATCTATATATTGTTTGGTATAAATAAGTGAGCAGCCAGTCGGGTTGTCGGTGGCTGACCCGTTGGCTACCCTTGTGTTCTGGTGCACTAGAGGTCGGACGGTCGAGGCTGGTATGGAGTGGATTTGTCGATGGTATAAATAAGTAACCAATGTTGCTGTGGTGGCGGTTATGTGGCGGTGGGGTTTCGGTTTCAGTCGGTGTGGCGGTCTGGGCAGTCGGGTTTCGGTTTCAGTCGGTGGTTTCGGTTTCAGTCGGTGGTTTCGGTTTCAGTCGGNGATCAGTTTGGACTGACTGCTAATCGGTGCTCGGTGCTTTATGCAGGTCGGTGGCTGGTCGGTGATTTCTCTGCTTGGGGGAGATGTGGCTGCTGGAAGTTAGGGTTAGGGTTAGTGTTTTAAGTTTGGCTCTGATACCAACTTGAGATAGTTGTGAATGAAAAGGGATACAAACTAAGTGTAGAGCCCCCGTATATATAGTCAATGAGAGTTGCCATAAGGACAAAAAAGGTAAAAAGGAAAACTAATAAAACCCTAATAAACTAGGCTGCTTCTATATCTTCAACAAATACTATTTCCATCCCCTGCATCATCTTCTGTTTTGTGCCTCTTGATCCTCTCTGTCGCACGTCGCTTGTCCACCAGAATCTTAAGTTCATTAGCTGTTCTAAGAAGCT